CCTTGTTTTCCATGAGGCATTTTTACCTCCCTAATCTGAAGATTTCAATGCGGTTATGGTGTTGGTAGTATTATTTCAATAGAGCTTTAATCGAGATTGTGCAGTTAAATTTAATTAACTCTTTAGGATTTTAGTGAATTTGCCTTTTCCCCCCAAAATTATTTTTATATTGAAGATACTGAAATTTTCCAAATAAGAAAACATATTTGTTGGACTGCGTGATTACAATATGTCCATGTCCTTTGCTTGAACTTCCCATGTATTCATTGTTTTAAATTGTCATCTAGAATTTCAGAAAAGATCAAAATACCCAGCCCTGAGAATATCATGGTATCACTTTATCACAGCATCATACTGCAGCTGAATATACAGGAGATGCAACCTTATTCCTGTGCATTTAAGTTAGGTATAACTGTATTTAAAATGAGGTAATAAAATATAGGGTTAGGCCTGGATCCACAAAGGGACTTAGGAGTCGCAGTGTCAAGTTTTAGGTACCTAGAAAATCACAGGAATAGCACTGCAGTCCCTGAAGCCTGAGCTAGGTGCCTAGGCTCCCTATGCAATAAATAGGGAAGGTTAGGCACCTAAGAAGAAGTGGGCTGTAATCCACGAAAGCTTATGCTCTAATAAATTTGTTAGTCTCTAAGGTGCCACAAGTACTCCTGTTCTTTTTGCGGATACAGACTAACACGGCTGCTACTCTGGCACCTAAGAATGCGATCCACAAAAGCCAGCACACTAGCTGGGGACCCACCTAAACTAGCCAATGGGAGATGCTAATAAGAAAGGTGTCTCCAAAGCCATGCCTCTATCCCAGAGATATGTGCTTAATTCTGGGCTGCAGCGAGGCACCAATCTCTGCTTGTGATCCATGAATGTGAACCATTCTTCTAGAGTCAGGCAGCTGCAATACCTAAGCCTTTTCTTGTTAGGTGTCTGCCACACTGCACACAAAATGGCCAGAGCTGGTGGCGCTGCGCACCTTATAACTTTTAGCCCAGTGGTTAGAGCGCAGCTGAAGGGGGACTTGAACCTGTGTCTCCCACATGTGTGTGTAGGAGTGGGGGCAGGGCCAGCTTTAGGACCTGCGGGGCCCGATTCAAATACCCGGTGGCGGTCCAGGTCTTCGGCAGCACTGAAGGACCTCCCGCCGCCGAAGTGCCGCCGAAGACTTGGAGCGGACTGCTGCTGGGTGAGTAAAAAAGATTAAAAATTTAAAAAGGCGCCTAAGGTGCGGGGCTCTCTTAGGCGCGGGCACGGGGTCCGATTCCTAAAGCTGGCCCTGGGTGGGGGGGCATGCTAACAGTGGGCTACAAGCTATAAGAGGGGCACTGCCGCCTCTCTCTTGTCCTCCTCGAGCCAGCTTTTGAATGGGGCCTGATCCAGCAGGCAGCCTGTAAGCATGCCTGCTGGATCAGGGCCTGCAGGTGAGATAGGGGCTCCTCCACCTATCATCCCCGGTTCATGGATCATCCTTAGGCAGGAGATAGGCACCTGGACACCTACAGTAAGGCAGAAGTGCATATGCCTAGAGGCAGAAACAGAGGTACTTAGGAAACTTTTACCTTGAGAACTTAGGCACCTACAGGATTCGGCTGCAGGAGTGCTGTGGATTGCAGTGGTGCCTAAAACTGGGATTTAGGTGCCTAAATCTTTATGGACCTGGGTCTTAATGCTCATTACTTCCATCATTGCTGGAATGAGTTTTGGGCTCCTATGCAGTGATCTCAGGTGAGATTTTCAAAGGTATTTAGGTGCCTAAGATAAAGATAGGTGCCTACTGGGATTTTCAAAAGTGCCTAAGGTAGGTTACCATCTTTCAGGTTCCCAAAAAGAGGACACAGCCGAAAGCGGGGGGAGTTGGAAAGGGGGCACAGTTGGGGAGTGCTGGATAGGATATGGTGCTGGAAGGGTGTGTGTGTACTGTGTGGGGGCATTTGGGGGGCGCTGGAGGGGTCTGTGTACTGGGAGGGGTACCTGGGGGTGCTGGAAGGGGAACCTGCAATCTCAATCTCAAGATGGGGTGCAGTGTCACTTCCTGTCACGATGGTAGGGCGGCTGGTGCAGGCCCCGGATGCAACGCCATCCATCCATCAACACTTCCCTGCCTCTCACCCTCTCCAGGGCTGGGAGCTGGGGCCTTGGTGGGCAGGATCCAGCATCTATGGCTGCAGTAGAGGGACCAATCCGGATTTGGAGACAGCTCTTTCTGAGCTGCAACATCTTCTCCGCAAAAATCCTGGACATTTCCTCTAATTTGAAAAATACACCCAGACAGAGGATCAAAAAACAGGAAATGTCAGGGAAAACCCAGACATATAGTAACTCTAGCCTAAGGGCTTGTCTACACTTAACACACTGTAGCAATGCTTCAGTGAATCTACCTCCCGCAAAAGAATTCTCCCGCTAAGCTAGCACTGTGTGCATTGTGGATTTTTGACACCCCTGAGTGACATAGTTATACTGACCAAATTTGCTGGTGTAGACCAGGCTAAGCAGGTTAGGCACCTAACTCCCACAGAAATCAATTGAAATTAGGTACCTAACCTGCTGAGGTACTTTTGAAAACCCCATTAGGTGTTTATCAGCATCTTTAGGCAACTAAATACCCTGGGAAATCTGGCCCTTGCTGCCTCTCGCTTCCTGTTGAGTTTCTCTCTAGTAGGGTTGCCAACTTTCTAATTGCAGAAAACCAAACACCCTTTCCCTGCACCTTCCCCCAGACCCCGCCCCTTCCTCACCCCTGCTCCGAGCCCCCCCCCCAACCTATGCCATCCCCCCTCCCTCCCTCGCTCTCCCCCATCCTCAATCACTTGCTCATTTTCACCAGGCTGGGATAGGGTAGGGTTACCATATTTTGAGCCTCCAAAAGGAGGACACTCCACGGGGCCCCGCCCACGCCCCAACTCCGCCCCTTCCCCAAAGTCCCCGCCCCAAGCTGCGCGGAGCTGGGAACAGAGCCTGACTGCCCCGCTGACTCTGCGGCCAATCGGACTTTTAGCAGCCCAGTCAGCTGTGCTGACCGGAGCCGCTGGGGTCCCTTGTCAACTGGGTGTTCTGGTCGAAAACCAGACACCTGGCAACCCTACTCTCTAGCTACAAGACTCTGTCGGGAAGAGTTCCCCCTTCTCCTACTGATAAAGGGATCCCCTAATCCTGTTATAGGCCTTGTCTAGTTTGGGATTTGATGGTGTGATGTCAGGTGTTAACTAAGGTGCTTGAAAGTGTGTGTAATTTAACACATGCCAAACTGGTCGCATTACAGCACAGACGTTTCCAGCTTGTTAGAGTTCGTTAACTCCATCCAACACCACCTCTGTTCTCTGAGGTTAGCCTAGACAAAGCGGTGAGCAGCACAAGGAGAGTGGTTTTCAGCAGGAGATTCAGGGGGCCTGGGGCAAAGCAATTTCGGGGACCCATAAAAAAAGTTGCAGTACAACAGAATACTGTATTCTGGTGGGGACCCCTGCAGGGCCCAGGGCGGCCCTGGTTTTCAGATGTGGCAGCTACAGTTGAAAAGCCAGCTGTCATGCTTGAAGCCAGCTAGTGGCCTTGTTGTAGCCTAAGGGAGACTCCTGGGGGAGCCTAGGTTGCTAAAATGGCCTCAAAGGCTCAGCCTGCCTCATGAAGGAGCTTTTCACTGCTAGTCAATGAAAAGGACACTCCAAAGTGCACCTCGGCCGGTTCCTGCCAGGCCAGGGCCTGAGGGGGTGTGTGGGTGGGGTGGGGAGGGGAGGCCCCGCCCCTTGCAT